TGTTAAAATTCAGAAGATCTGAGTGGGCCCAGGCATTTGTTGATACTGGAAGGAAAAAAAAGTATTTTTGGGGGAGGGGGCATTCAAATATGACAGTAATAATTTTCTTTATCCCTCTTTCCCCTGAGCACTCCTGCCCACATCCCTGACATAGAACTCATGGTAACCAGTATGTTAAGTGTTGCTTTGACACTACATGGAGACAAGCGGACAACTAAAATTATCCACTTGAGGTCTTACTCCTTCTTGTGGGAAGGCTGGTTTTGCCTATTCTTTTTTTTTTAAGATTTATTTATTTTAGAGAAAGAGAGGAGTGGTTACAAGCTAGCAAGTGGGAGGGAGGGGCAGAGGGAGAGGCAGAGAATCTCAAGCAGACCCCATGCTGAGCGAGGAGTCCAATGGCGGGTGGGGGAGGGGATTCGATCATATATCTCTGAGATCATGACCTGAGCTGAAACCAAGAGTCAGACACTTAACTGACTGAGCTACCCAGGCGCCCCGGTTTTTGCCTATTCTAACAATAAATCCAAAATGTTTTTTAACTGCTTTTCATGAAAGTACAAGTGAGTTTAGTATGAAGCCAAATACCCGTGCACATCATCTTTGAATTTCTCAGTATTTATTCAAGTATATAAACCCTGATTAGAATTTAAGCAAATACAGATGCTTCCTCACTTCCTCCTCCTCCAAGAAATCAGAAAATAACTGCCTCACTCCTTCATTGGTAGACATCATCAAAACCTACATGGCATTATTATTTACCCACCTACCCACTCCCGAAGTTGTACAACTACACCGATCCACATCCAGTAGTGTCAGTCTCAAGTTTTCCTCACTGAATTTTCATAAATACACCAACTCCTTCCCTTTCATAAAGCCTGCTTTTGTTTAGGTAAATGTTCTTGCTCAGAGGCCTCCTAAACTGCATTGGGGCCCAAGCTCAAAGACTTTAACACTCTTCCAGAATCCTCTCCCAAACTTCCCAGAAATAAATACCTTTGGAAAGAGGAGTGGAGCTTATAAAATACTCCCCCAAGTTTTCCAGGAAGAATCACCTGGGGCACTTGTTAAATATACAACTTAACCAGGCTTCTCCTGGAAGTAACTGATTCAAGTACATAGGTGAAAGACAAGAAACCTGTATTTTAACAAGTGTCCCAGATTCTGGAAGTACCTCTTTTTCTAATGGTGTTCATCACTGCTCCCATACCTGCCACCTTCTCACGTGGTCTCCTCTCCCTCCTGTCATCCACCCTGCTCCCTTCCATGGATGTACCCTCCTTTTACCTATTCAAAGCAGTTTTTTCCAATGAATCCACCCACACTGATTTCTCTTTCTTCTCAATTCCTGCCGCACTTAGTCATGTGATGCAACATTTGAACCTTTTAAGTGTACTGTGTTCAATAAAACTTGTGGATTGAATGATATAAATTTTTATTTTTTCTAGGTAAAGTCCAGTGTTGAGACAGCAAGCAAGATTAAATGATTTACAAATGTTCATATATTTTAAGTGTGTTGAATGTGATTCTGAAGCCATGGTTACTAACTCAAACGCCCCCAATAGCTTACTACTTAAACTCTTAGCACTGAATGCTACAGGAAAATGATACCTTAGTTCTTCCACAAGGAAAGCAATTTATTCTGTAGAAACTTGATAATTATAAGCTTTCCCATTTCTTCTCTCTCATAAACAGCTTACTCACAGAGTTAAGGGACATACTAAATAAAGCCGCCTCCTGAAATTAGCTGGTATTTGCTTTTAAAATTGTACCAAGAATAAAGCAACATGTTCCAGTGGTGGTGAACAGTAATTCAGCCAACTCTTAATTATATGAGGAGGTGGGATCGGGAAGACAGCACTTAAAAACCCACAGATGAGGGCGCCTGGGTGGCTCAGTCGTGAAGCATCTGCCTTCGGCTCAGGTCGTAATCCCAGGGTCCTGGGATCTAGCCCCGCGTTGGGCTCCCTGCTCGGCGGGAAGCCTGCTTCTCCCTCTCCCACTCCCGCTGTTTGAGTTCCTGCTCTTGCTATCTCTGTCTCTGTCAAATAAACAAACAAAATCTTAAAAAAAAAACAAAACCCATAGATGACTGCTGACTGCATTTCATCTAGTACAGTAACTGTGGCAATTGCTGCTTCTTTATGGGGATGCTGTCCTTGTGTGAGAAAAGAGAGCAAAACACTGAGACTGTCTCCAAGTTCCCCCTTTAAATTCTAATAACCTAGGATTTGATGACCGTACTCATCTTTCCAGTAACCTCTGATTGCCAAGGGGCATAAGTCAGGAAGGAAATGATTATCAAATGCAGTCAAGGGTCGGGACTCATTACCTACTCCCAGCCTCTCAACAGACTCTCTTGGAGGGAAGAGTAGCTTTTAGCTACCTGATGACGTCTCTTGCCAGATGTCTAAACTTTGGGACATATAAGAATAATCTGGAATCTGGGGCCCACCAATAACAAGTCTATTTTTTTTTTTAAGATTTTATTTATTTATTTATTTGAGAGAGAGAGAGAGAAACAGCATGAGAGGGGATAGGGTCAGAGGGAGAAGCAGGCTCCCCGCCAAGCCAGGAGCCCGATGTGGGACTTGATCCCAGGATTCCGGGATCATGACCTAAGCCGAAGGCAGTCGCTTAACTAACTGAGCCACCCAAGCGCCCAATAACAAGTCTATTAATAGGTCTATAGCAGGATCCATTAATCTGCATTTTTAACAGCACCTAATGCTGGTTCTGAGGGTCTTTGGAAAACATTTTACAGTTTCTTCTCTCACCCTGCTGCATCCATGCTTCATGCTTTTCTCTTTCTGCTCCTGCCTTTTCCCAAATAAAATGTTTTAATTTCTTTCAATCCTAACCATGTTTCAAGGCTGAGCTCAAATATCAACCATTTCTTGAAGGCTAAAAAGATCACCTTTGCTGAAAGGGACTTCCCAATCTCCAGCACCCTTGTGCCATTTGCAAACTTTAACTGTAAGAGAAGAAAAGGTGTTTCATTTCATTAAACAGTTATTTTTTTTTGTGCAAGCTCTTCTCTCTTGTTAGGGAGTAAACTTTGTAAAGGCAGACTAAGGCTCACATTCTTTTACCTCCTAATAAAGCACCTACAGTGTGTGAGGCATTCTGCAAAAACTTCTTCAATGAAGATCAAGCAATAAGCGAATGAACGTATTCACATGTTTCTTCTAACAAGCAGCTGAAGCTAAAACTGCAGGAAAAAGGAAAATTGCCTAGATTTTGTAGTAACTAAGTTTAAGTACCATAAAATTTCTTTCAATTTCTTTATTTGTAAAACTAGGGTTTTCAGAGACTTTTAAAAAGTTCATTAAACACCTTTCTGTGTCAAAAGCCTAACATTCCAAATGCTCTATCTAACCTGACCTTTCTTCCTCAGCACAGTTATCCGCCATCTGTGTTATACAAGCTATCTATGTTCCCAAGATGTACCTACTGACTACCTTGGCCTGAGGGACTCTTGAGATACGAGCTGGTACAGGAGGAGACACGAACTGGTTTTCTTTTTTACTTCTCCCACCTCAAACCTAACAACGACCTGTTGAAACTAACAGTTACTAGGTGGCACCCATACTAACAGCTATTTCACAATGTGCCAAATTCCTATAAAGCTGGGGAGGGGGGAGAAAAGAAATCCTGGGAATAGGAACAGTGTAATTTCATGTAATGAATGTGTTCATCGCAGAATAAAACCCAAAAAGCCAAAAAACCTGAATAGGACTGTCAAGTCCACCCTTTCTAAAGAATATGGAGTTTAGGGGCGACTGGGTGGCTCAGCCCTTAAGCGTCTGTCTTCCGCTCAGGTCATGGTCCCAGGGTCCTGGGATCGAGCCCCGCCCGCATCGAGCCCCGCATCGGGCTCCCTTCCCGGAGGAAAGCCTGCTTCTCCCTCCCCCACTTCTCCCTCCCCCACTCCCCCTGCTTGTGTTCCCTCTCTTACTGTGTCTCTCTGTCAAATCAATCAATCAATCAATCTTAAAAAAAAAAAGAATATGGAGTTGAGAGTCTAAGTAACCAGGTGAGCACCCTAATTTTAAAAGTACGTCTTAGCCTAACCACCCACCAATAATAATCAAAGAGTTTCAAGTCTTAGTTCTAACTCAATCACCTTCAGATTATCACTTTCATTAAAGCCACATTGTTCCTTCTACTGTTCAATTTGTCCTAATTAATTCAAAACTTTCTGAACAAAATGTAGTTATTTATAATGTAGGATGGTCAGACGAATGTTTTGAATAGCAATAACCTAACTTGAGCACAGCCAAAATGCACTTTTAGTGTGATGAATTGCCAGTTTTGAAAGAGAACCTTCATTTCTCATTTACAAATCATTAATTTGTAATAATTTGTGGACACGGTAATGTGTCCTCAGGCAGAACCGGAGGTAGCAAAAAAGGGAAAGTCCAGGGTGTGTGATGTATAAAATTGGCTCTTGACCAGCGAAAGGCATCACCTTTACAAGATCTTAACCCAGGTATACAGGACACAGATGGACCAAGTAGTAAGAGTGGAAGGCTCCGAAAAAAATCCAAATAAATGTAAAACAAGTCAAAGTGTGTTACTATACGAGTAACATGACTTAAAAAAAATTCGTAACATCTAAATCATACAAAAGCTACATGATCAAAAAATATCCCTTTTGGTGACTTTTTTCTACACAAAATTTCCATAAAACAGACGCAAGTTAATTTGCGGCCTTGGAAGGGGCAGGGACAGCGTTAAGTCAGGAACGCGAAATGCCGAAGGCACCGCATCCAGGGATCAAACGGGACCCTGAAGAGTGGTCCAGTTCTTACTGAACGTGATGCAAGCCCCAGGACAGGTAGGGGAAAGGGAAAGCGGAAAGAGGAGGAGGAGGACCCGCTTCCCGGCCTGACCCCACACCCCAGCAGCCCGGGACTTCCCATTCATTCCGCGCCGTCTCCAGGTGGCGGCGGCGCGCGGGCAGCCGCGGCGTTCTCCGCCCGGCACCGTGCACTCACCTGTTCGGGAACACGACCGCGCGGCGCCCGAGGCCGCTGAGGCCGCTGAGGCCGCCGCCAGGAGCCGGGGGGACGCAGGCCGGGGGGCGGCCGCCGGCGGAGGCGACTGGCGGCGCAGCCCGGGGGTGGGCAAGCGGCGCAGGCCGGACGCGTCTCTCTGCAGCAGGGCGGAGCAGAGCCGCCGCGGGCTCTGATACATGCCGGGCGCCGGCGCCGCAACCACCGAGGCCCCTCACGCGCCGGAGGAGCGGAGCCTGGCCGAGGTCGAAGCCGGCGAACCGAACAGTCTCTCGGGGGCCGTCCGAGCGGATGCTCTCAGGGTCCTCGTCGCCCGGCCCAGGCCTAGGGGCAGTCTTGGGCAGGGGAGTCCGAGAGGGAGACGCGCGAGCAACAGCAGCTGAGGCAGCTGTGGCAGCAGCGGCGCTGTCTGCCGCGGGCTGGCGAGAGCTGGAGGGTAACCGGCGAGCGCAGCGCGCTGACAAAGCGGGCGCGACCAAGCGAGACCAGGAGGGGGGATCCGTGAGACCGGACCCTGGCGCGACGAGGCTGGGGTTCCCGGACTCGGGGTAATCCTATTTCGACAGGAAGGAGATCTTAAGTTTTTTGTAGGGTGGAAGCTGTAGGAGGTCTAAGGCAGCAAGTATCTGTTAGAGGGTTTTAAAGAAATGGAGCCTCCCCTTCCGCTGGCTGGAATGGAAGCGCCCACAGGCTGAGAGTCCCGAGACCATTCAGGGCTGTGGCTCTGGGGACACGTGTGTGTCCAGGTGGAAGACCACATGCGTGTGTGCGTGTGAGTGTAAGTGTGAATACAGAAAAGGGCATCCGCCCCCATCCCTTCGGAAACATATGTTGCGTTAAATGAAATTAAGCATATAAAGCACCGACTGTGTGCGAGGGCCATGATGGATATGAAAATGTCCCTTTCTTCAGTGGTGTTATACGCAGGCAAAGGGGGCAGAAGGTAGCAAGAGAAATCAGACCCTAAAGATCTACAAGGTAGATTAAACTAAGTGCCACAAGATCCAAAAAAGATACAATTTGAAATAAAATAAATGTTTAGAGGGGAAAAAAAACAACAACAACAACCCAGGCTTGAGGATTCTTGAAGGTTTATCGGAATTGGCATGAGTTGGGCCATGAGTAGGAGGTCTAGAATTTAACACATGTGGAATTTGGGAGGGGAGTGGTGGTGATTTATACATGAAGAAAGGAAATAAGAAAACCCTGGGCATGTTTGGAAAAACAACAACTCTTAGTTATGTAGGATGGAAGCTAAGGAGTAAGAAGACAGATACTTAGATAGGTTATAGTGTGGATGGCAGAGATTATACCAGACTTAATTTGGTAGGAAACGTGACTTGTTATAAAGTTTTGTGAGCTACACAAAGATGACTAGGGTCGTGTTTTAATTGGAGGTCATGTGCCTCTGGCAAATGAAAAGGCAGGAGAAAGTAGAGCAGCTGAGATGAAAGATATTCTAGATCTGTATCTGGTACTGGAAAAGAATGGATGGAAGAAACATCTCCCATCGGGTAGGAAATGACTAACCAGAATGAAAGTGGAGTGAGGGGGAGGGCAACCCAAGACTGGATTCCTCTTTGGATGACTTATGAGCTAGAAATGTTTTCTTGGTGGGTTTCCCATGATTTTGCTGCTTCTCTTATCTTGTGGAATTGGAAGCTTTTCATTAGCAAGGATATTCAAAATATTTTTCAGACCCTGGTTATATATCCAATACCCAGAGGGCATGGATGAGTCAGCTAGCACAAGCTGATCACAACTCCAGGAGATAATCTCCTTAGCAAGTCATTAAGCTCTATTGGTCTCAGGTTCCTTAACTATAAAACATAGAATCATACTTTAGTCATTACATGAAATGAAGGGTGATAATAAAATTAGCTCATAAAAAGTGTTTTGCAAAGATAACAAAATGTCGAATTAGAATTTAGGTGATGGGTATGTGGGTGTTCACTTTTTTTCCCCCTATGTAAGGAAATACTCAAAATACAGTGTTGGGGGATAAGTGCTTTGAAAAGTTAAAAGTACTGTTCAAATATAAACTGTCATCATTAAAAGGATTTCAAAGGACAATTCTATCCTGAGAATGGGTCAGTAGTATTATTTTTATGACATATTAAACACTGTATACTTTAAGCAATCAGAAAAACATAAAATTTGGGGGGTGGGAGGATGGGTTAGCCTGGTGATGGGTATTAAAGAGGGCATGTACTGAATGGAGCACTGGGTGTTATATGCAAACAATGAATCATGGAACACTACATCAAAAACTAATGATGTGGGCGCCTGGGTGGCTCAGTTGGTTAAGCGACTGCCTTCGGCTCAGGTCATGATCCTGGAGTCCCGGGATCGAGTCCCGCATCGGGCTCCCTGCTCGGCGGGGAGTCTGCTTCTCCCTCTGACCCTCCCCACTCTCATGTGCTCTCTCTCATTCTCTCTCTCTCAAATAACTAAATAAAATCTTAAAAAAAAAAAAAAACTAATGATGTAATGTATGGTGACTAACATAACATAAGAAAAAAAACTTACTTCAAAAATTCATTCAGCAAGCATTTATTGAGTACATATTATGTGCCAGGCTCTACGTTAGGGCATACAATAATGAACTGAACAGTCTGTTCACAGGCTAGTGGTGAGACATTGTATAAACACATATAATTATCCGATAATAAATATAGAATCGTGATATGAACAAGATACTGTGGAAACACAGACAATGCCTAATTGCCCGGAAAAGACAGGAGAGGCTTTTGGAACAAGGTGACTTCTAAGCAGGAAGGGATGAGGGGTGATATCCACTGAGAACAGCACGGCAAAGAAAGGAGGGATGCTCCAGGAACAGAAAGTACCACACTTTGATAAGGCTTGAGTGCAGGGTGCCCTTAAGGGAGTGGCAGGAGACGAGGTGGAAGGCTGTGGGCAAGAACCAAAGTGTGAAGGGTTTTCAGAAGAGTTTGGACTTTATCCTGAAGGTTCTGAAGAACCTCTGAAAAAATAAGCAGATAGTTTGCACTATTAAGGTTTCGTTTTTGAGAGATCATTCTGTCAGCAGTGTGGAAGATGGACTGGAGGCTGGGGAAGAATCAGAACAGGGCAAGTAAGGAAGAGCATATGCTGGTTTGGAATCTCGGGAGGAGGGGCAGGGCAAGAATGCTTATTTATTTATTTATTTATTTAACCACACAGGTGATTCTGATGTACATCTCTCTTCCTCTCTCAGCAAATAAATTGGGGGCAGTGATGGTGGAAGAGTAGGGTTTAAGAACTATGAAGGAGACAGAAACCACAGGGTTGCATGACAAATTAAATCTAAAGGTCGTGGGAGGAGAGGACAGAGTCTGGGTATGACTTGGGTGACTGGTGGATAACAGTACCAAATAAGGAAAACAGGTGGAAATGCGGCTTTTAACACTGAGTTAAGGTCAGAACATGTAATTGTGATGCGCTCATGGAACACCCACGTGGAGTCACTTTGTAGACAAATAAAAACTATGGAGTTGGAGTTCATAGCAGGGTCAGGGCCAAACACTCTTAAGAGCTCCGGAGTTGAAGCCATGGATAGTGAGGTCACCCACAAAAAGACTTTTGAGTGAGATAGGAAAAGCACTAAGGATGAAATCCCTGTGAAGTGGGACGCCTGGGTGGCTCAGTCCGTGAAGCGTCTGGTTCAGCTCAGGTCATGATCCCAGGGTCCTGGGATCGAGTCTCCATCGGGCTCCTTGCTCATCGGGGAGCTTGCTTCTTCCTCTGCCTGCAGCTCTCCCTGCTTGTGCTCTCTCTCTGACAGATAAATACAGTCTTAAAAAAAAAAAGAAAGAAAATTCCCTGTGAAACATGTACCTTTAAGGATTGGTAGAAGGGAGAGAGACATGAGACCTAGTAAGAGAACAAGGAGAGATTGGTGTCTTAGAAGTAAGGGGACAGAAAGTTTCTAGAAGGGTGTAGCAGTGATGAATGCACCCAAGAGATCAAGGTGGGGACTGAATCCTTTGAATTTTACAGAAGGCGGCTCTTCAGCTCACTGTGAATAGTGGCAGGTAGGCGTGGTCATGGTGGAGGAAATCGGATTGCACTGATTAATGGGATTAATGGGACCAGAAGGCAGGAGACCTAATAGGAAAAACAATGGGATAAAGCACCACAGGAGTTTTCTTTTTCTCTTAAGATTGGAACATTTCTCTTAAGATTGGAGAAACCTCAAAATAGAAGTTGAGGAGAAGGTGCCCACTAAACATAAGAGACATTGTAGTTTTTCTACTATTGAGACTTTCTGCTTAGTGCTACAGTTTGCCCAGCAGTTCTGTTAGTTTCTCTATTAACATCCCCTGTCTGAAGCAAAGCCACATTAAAAGGCCACACTTGCAAGCTGGAGGGCAAGGGAAATCTCTCTTCCTCTTTTTTTTTTTTTTCAAGTAATCTGTATGCCCAACATGGGCCTCAAACTCACAACCCCAAGATCAAGAGTCACATGCTCTATCAACTGAGCCAGCCAGGCGTCCTCTCTTTTTCTTGTAAGGCCACCAGTCTTTTTGGATTAGGGCACTACCTTTATGACCTCATTTTGTTACAGGATTTTTTTCTCTGTCGGTGCCCGCAGTTCTTGGTCATGCCGCTTCAAAGAACAAAGAGGTAGGCCAGACAGTGGTGGATAGCAAAGCAAGGTTTATTGAGCGATAGCAAAGTAATAGTACAAAGTTCCCAAGGAGAGAGGGGGTTGCCACCAGAGTTTCTAAGTCTAGGGGTTTTTATGGGCTTGTTGGCCCAACGTTTTAATCTGATTAACCTTCCTTGCGCATGTCATCCGATCAGATTTTTGTCACCTATTTATCATACGGGAAAGGGTGGAGGGCTCCTTCCATGTGTAAAATCCTTTTACAGGTGATTTCCTCCTAGGGTAGGGGCCCCTTGTCCCTGCCTGCCCGCCTTCCAACTATCCTTCATCAATTTAACCTTAATTACCTTCCTAAAGGCTTTATCTCCAAATGCAGTCACGTTGGGGGTTAGGGCTTCAGCATATGAATTTTTTTTTTTAAAGGTTTTGTATTTATTTATTTGAGAGAGAGAGAATGAGAGACAGAGAGCATGAGCAGGAAGAGGGTCAGAGGGAGAAGCAGACCCCCCCGCTGAGCAGGGAGCCCGATGTGGGACTCAATCCCGGGACTCCAGGATCATGACCGGAGCTGAAGGCAGTCGCTTAACCAACTGAGCCACCCAGGCGCCCTCAGCATATGAATTTTGAGGGACACAATTCAGTACATAGCACTGTCAGAGACTGGAAATATATCAGTTGATGAGTAGTCAAACAAAATGAAACAAAGTAATAAGGACTCTCAAGTTCTATCACTATAAGTTATTCTTTAGTTTTTAATAACTGAATTAGTAAACTGAATTTATTTATTTTTAAGTAGGCTC